ATGCAAGGAAAATAAGCAACAGCGAGATGACAATTTCAGATTACACCATCACATCGAAAGCCAGATAGTCACACCGTGTCCAGAGAGCAGCATTGCACCAATAATAAACCAAAGGAGGTTCATAGTACTGAAAACCAATGTCCCGGAGAGCTTTCTATCTCCAAACCAACACAAGAGTCCAGTCCCTTCACACTCCTACTTGGCGCTCAGCGCCCAGCCTACTCCTACACAGCTACGATCAGCCCACTAATTGACAATGCAACTGTTGACATCAGCGGCAACCCGAAGTACTTGAAGATGTCGCCCAAATGCTGACCATCGCCAATACAAGGTATGTGCCCTCACATCATCATCATCATCATCATCCTTCACCCTATATGCAAGGAAAATAAGCAACAGCGAGATGACAATTTCAGATTACACCATCACATTGAAAGCCAGATAGTCACACCGTGTTCAGAGAGCAGCATTGCACCAATAATACACCAAAGGAGGTTCGTAGTACTGAAAACCAATGTCCCGGAGAGCTTTCTCTCTCCAAACCAACACAAGAGTCCAGTCCCTTCACACTCCTACTTGGCGCTCAGCGCCCAGCCTACTCCTACACAGCTACTATCAGCCTACTAATTGACAATGCAACTGTTGACATCAGCGGCAACCCGAAGTACTTGAAGATGTCGCCCAAATGCTGACCATCGCCAATACAATGTATGTGCCCTCACATCATCATCATCATCATCCTTCACCCTTCCCTGACTTTACACCCACGTCTTCCTCCCTTACACCCGAAGACCACTCATGCGCCTCACTGTAGTCCAAGCCCACCAGCTATGGTGGCTGGGCTATGGGGCTGCCCTCAGCAGCGCCCTGCTTCCCTGCACGACCGCACGTGCTGCACCTCGTCTCTCAGCGCCAGCAGCAGCCCACGAGCATTGCTCCAGCAGCGCTGCCGGTAGCATGCGAGTGCCTGAACGAGGCTGCCTGGGGAGAGCTCTTTCCTTTATGGAAAGAGCTGGCCTGCTCGTGCAGCCTGGCTGTATTGGCCTGGGCCCAGAAGCTTCTGGAAGGCCCCAGGATGCTGCCTTTCCGCTGCAGCTACTGGGCCTCGTTCGGTCGGGCCTCCCAACTGTCAGTGTATGAGGCTGCGATTCACGCCCAGGGCCTGCATTCTGGCCCGGTAGGCCGTGGAAATGTCTTGGTTGCTCGGCCTGTGTTTCTCTCAACCAATTGGCGCGTCGCAACCGCCTGTACCCCAAATATGAAATTGACAGTCAAAGGCCTCTTCGAATCTGTTAGGCCCGCCTTCACTTAGGGCGGGCACCACTGCAACCGGGGCCTCTTAGGCCTACCGAGGACCCAGATTCTCGCATTGCCTCCTCCTTTACTTCGTTAGTCCTCTGAGAAGTCTCTTATTCTGCAGGCATCTTCCCTTTCAGTTCTCTTTCATAGCCTGCTATCACTTGAGGTGTTGTTCTCGGAAGTTCTTCTTGTGTGAACCAACGATCTTCCTTGGGATCAAGATGATGTTCGAAACTCGCACGATACTGCATTCTCGGTTTAGGAGGGCGCCCTCTGCCTGATGGTCGAGGAACAGGCATCATTCGATGTTCCACGATCTGGTCGATGTCCACCTCGCTATCCATGGTTGGGGGCAACATTGATCTTCTTGAAGGAAACTGCTTTGTTGCAGCGAAAGGTGCCAACTTGGAAGCATGGAAAATAGGGTACGTACGTAAGTGGGGAGGAATGCGAATTACGTATGATGGCCCATCTGGTTGATCCCCTACAATGTCCAAGATCTCGCAGGGCCCAAAGTATTGTGGCATCAACTTTCGTGAGATCCCCATCTCCTGGCCTAGTTCAGATGACTTTACCCAGACTCTCTCACCTACCTGGAAGTTAGAGGGCCGTCTATGTTTATTCTCAGATGCGATTTTAGCATCCTGAGACTTTTTGATATGTTCAACGGCCTGGTGCAGCATCTGTTCATACTTTACAGCAAACTCTATGCTGCCAGGTGCTGCAATGTTTTGTCTTTCTGGTAGCAGAAAGTCAAGCGCACTCTTCCAACCAAGATGTAGCTGGTTGGGAGTCATGCCCGTAGTACTGTGCACAACGTTATTGTACAGGCTGGCGACGAGAGGTAACTCTCGTCCCAATTATCCTGACTTGGCTTGATATAATGCCGAAGCAGGTGTTGTACTACCCGATTCATTTGTTCGGCTTGGCCATTTGACTCGGGGTGATTACCTGAAGTCATTTGGAGTTTGGTGCCCATCTGTTCAGCAGTGGATTGCCGTAGTTCACTGGTAAACCGTACATCCCTATCACTTACTATAGATGTAGGAAGTCCAAAATCGCGTACCCAGTTGTCTAGAAACAGCTTGATGATAAAGTCAGTTTTTTCAGTTTTTGGCATGGCAATAAGTCTTGCATACTTAGAGAAACGGTCTACTATCACGAAGATGTATCTTTTTCGAGATTTGTTGGTCACAAGTGTATCCATGAAATCCATGGACACGCTCTGACCAGGACCTTCAGGAATCGGCAAGGGCTTGAGGAGCCCAAGCGGAGCCTGAGTCCTAGGTTTGTCCCTTTGACAAACTTGGCATGTTTCAACATACTTCTTTGCATCTTGCATCATAGTAGGCCACCAGAATTTATGTACTAGGTTAGCTGAAGTCTTTTTATAACCGAAGTGTCCAGTTGCATCGTGACACTCTCCTAAAAATAAACTACGTAAAGACTCACTATCCGGAACACATAACCTTTTATTCTCTGCCTTCACAAGAAACAACAAGCCGTCTACCATCGTAAATTCATCCAAAGTCTTTTTGTCCTTGGTTTGAAATCTATGGATGATCTCAGACATAATTGGATCTTGTTGATAGGCATCCACCAATGATCGAGTCAAGTCGCTAGATATGCCAAATTCAGTCACTAGTGCGCCCAAATAATCCGCTCGACGAGATAGCGCATCAACCACCTTGTTGTACTTTCCCTTGATAGGATCAAGTGATAGTCATACATGTCTATCACTTGTATCCATCTCTTGAGTGCATCAGAGAGCAGGGGCTGTGTCTTGATCCAGCGCAAGGTTTCATGGTCACATCTCACATAGAAGAACTTGCCTAGGAGATAATGTCTCCAATGAACCAGCGCTCTATATAGGGCATAGAGCTCACACTCGTATGTGGACTTCGCTAGTTTCTGAGATGGCATCTTTTTACTCATATACTCGATCGGTCTCAACTTTTTCCCCTCCTTTTGCGCAAGGACCGCGCCTATGCCATATTGGTTGGCGTCTATGGTCACGACAAAGGGCTGATCAGGATCAGGAAGTTTGAGAACCTCATAGTGTGTTAAGGCGTACTTCAGTTTCCTAAAAGTTGCCTCACACTCTTCAGTCCACTCCCAAGGGGTGTCAAGTCGAGTTAGATTTGTCAATGGGGAAGCTATAGTACAATAGTTCTTCACAAACGGACGATAGTAGCCCGTCATCCCCAAAAACGACCTCAGTAACAGTCTGAGGTCTGGGCCAGTCACGTATGCTGGCCACCTTGGCATCATCTGGCCTCAGTCCTTCTGCTGAGATTTCATGACCCAAGTACAAGATCTTGGTGCGACCAAACTCGCATTTCTCCAAGTTAACCTTGTACGGGTGCTGTCTTAGGAGACCTAGCACTATTTTCAAGTGCTCAGCGTGCTTCTCTACAGTCCTACTAAAGATAAGAATATCGTCGAGGTACACGACGATAAACTTGTCTACGTAGTCATGAAAAATCATGTTCATCGCGTGCAACGTACCAGGTGCATTGCATAGGCCAAAGGGCATCACCACAAACTCGTACAGACCGTACCTGGTTTGAAATGCGGTTTGGTGTTGGTCCTCAGGTCTAATGGCAATTTGGTGGTATCCGGACTTCAGATCTATCTTGGTGTAGTACCGGCATCCCTGCACTCTATCCAAGAGGTCATCGATGCGGGGTAGGGGCTCCGCGTTCTTAACAGTGATGGCATTGAGGCCCCTATAGTCAATGCACATCCTCAGGGTACCTCCCGTCTTCGGTACGAATAGGACTGGAGTGCCGTAAGGGGAGGTACTAGGTCGAATCCATCCCTTCTCTGTGAGCTCCTTGAGCTGGCCGCGGAGCTCATCTAACTCCACAGGAGACATCCTATAGATTCGTCCTCTAGGTACCTTACTACCTGGGACAACCTCTATTGCATGGACAACCTCCCTTTCCACCACGCGTGTGGGCTCCTAAAAAAGGTCTGAATACTGAGCGACGACTGATTCTATCTCTGGGGGTGTTTTTACGGCCTCCCCTTTTTCAGAGACAAAGAACTAAGTACATGCCCTCCTCGCTATTCTGCTTGTAATAGTTATAGAAAGATGATGCACACATGCACCTGTAGTTTTCTATTAGACTGCTGGCTTTGTACTTCTGCAATCTAACAGTTCTACCATTGGGCAATTTGTGGATCAACACCTTTCTATCCCAGTCAAACTGAGGTTGCGCGACCTCGAGGTAGCACATGCCTAAGAGCATATCAAAGGGCAGTTCGTCGCTAACCAGGAAGGAGATTTTATGGCTCGCTTCCCCTCCTCCATAGGAGAAGGTACAGACTACGTCCTTGACATAGTCTTTTACCAACATTTGGTGCTTGTTGGCCAGCGTAGAAGCTACAGTTCTGCTAAGCCGGTGCACTTGGTCCCCTAAGCGTAGTCTATCCACACAAGCACGACTGATGAAGTTTCGCGTAGAGCCTATGTCTGCGAAGGCGCCAACCTTGCGGCCACCTACATCAACCTCTACCACGAAATGTTCACCCTTTGGACCTCTACTGATCATCGCCCAAGAGTACCTGGGGTCCTTCCCTGACCACTCAGTCTCTAACTCTTCTAGGGCCTCAGACACATCTCTCGAACAGAGCGTCGGTGGGTCGGAATGTGTCTGCGGGGCGATACGTGGGTCACTAGCCCTGGCCAACGCCTGAAGTGGGGAAGGCAACGTTACCACTTCAGCGCGAGTAAGAGCGACTAAAACTCCTACTGGCCCGAGGTGTTTCCCTGCGAAGTGCTCGCAGAAGCACCGCCAGGGTTCGAAGATAGTGCCACCATTGTTGGAGAGGCTACCCTCGTTAGGACTTTCTTGCCTCGGCACATTCGGGACGTGTGGCCATAGTTTCCACAGTTCATGCACGTGCCCCTAGCGACTCGATCCCTCCACACATACTCTAAACCAAGTTTCACCCATGCGGGAGTTCCTTGGTCGTCCTGACCTGTAGACCGGCCTACCTTCTTCTTCCCGGTCCCCCTAGCCTTTTCCTTGATGGGTGCCACGACTCCCCCATCCGAAGCCTCGCTGGCCCCATCGTGCTCTGTCTCCTCCCCAAGGTCTGGGAAGTCGTCAATTTCCGTCGCCCGACCATCGTGGTCGATGAACATTAGTTGACCTTTCTTCTTCCAGTCCTGAGGTAGTCTCTCCTTCCTACCATCTTCTTGACTCTGATGCGCAAATCCCAATTTTGCCTCTATGTCTAAGGCCTTCTTGCTGAATGAAGCGAAGTTGTACTGTTCGACATAGGCCTCGTCTACCTGCTTTGTCCTAACCTCTGAAGGCAGACATCTAAGGTAATCCGGAAGGAGTACCTGCTGGTCATAGCGCACACCAGGTACCACGAGCAGACGTTCTACGGTATCCGTAAGCTCTCTAACATTCTTGTACCTTCTGACACAAAGACTGTTGATCGCGTATGTGGCCTTTTGGGCCCCTTGAGGGTCGTGCCACCTATTGTATACGGACCGTACAAACTCTTCCAACGTCTGGGCCTGGGGCCAGGCATCGAAGTTCTGACCGTAGCCCTGCTGCTGCACTAGGCCATTCAACCAGTGGGCTGTTGACCCCTCTAGAAAGGAGGCAGCCACTACAACTTCTTGCTCCAGCCTGGTAAGCTTGTGCCTCACACAGGTAGGCACCGTCCTTACCCAGGTGTCCAAGTCCTCATTCTTCTTCCTGTCGTCGGAGAAGGGCTTAGGACTCAGCAAGGGTATTTTGGGCATCCACTGCATAGGCTGCATTGGCCCAGGGGATTGCTGCAGTGGCTGCATAGCCACCGAAACAGGTTGCTGCACACTAACGTGGGCCTGGCTTGACCGTGGGAATGTAGTAACCACTGTCGTCGATGGTACGACTGAGACTCTAAGGACCGGACCACTAGTCGCCACATAACCACCTGGAGGGGGCATGCCAAACATAGGTGAGAATGAAGGCCCTACCGGCGACGGCGTCACTGATGGACCCGCACCTGAAGGGGGAGCTACAGCAAACTGAGGCTGCCTCATAACTGGACGAGGAGCCTGTAGTGCAGCCATAATTCGTTTTTGGCCTGCCACTAGTTCAACCAACACTTCCTGCTGAACAACCTGGGTCTCCGCCACACACAAGAACGAATTCCGCAGAGCTTGCATAGCGGGATGTAATGTGGACTCATCTCGTGCTTCCAGCTTGCCTAGTTCCTGCAATCTACTACCTAGTTTAGCTTTTCTCATTATTGCTCTTCTTCTTCTCTCTGCTGCTTCATCCAACTGCCGCTGCAACTCATCCTGAAGTTCTTTTGCTTGGAGGATCTCATAATCCTCCAACGTGAGTCGAGCCTGCTGGCTGACTTGCAAGCCAGCACACTGGCTGATGGAAACCCGAGAAACACTCTGACTAACTCCTGACGAAGTGGTTTGTGAAGAGGCCTGCGACATGGTAGAGGAAGTAGCCATGGTCGTACTAGTGCTAGCTGTAATCCTAGACCTGGCACTGGCCTCAACCACCCTTGCTCTTCTTGTCGCTGTTCTCTCTCTAGCCTTTCTCTGCAGTCTCCTCTCGTCTCCTGGACCTAACTCTAGGAAAGTCAAAGGTCGACTGAGAGCAGTTCTACGAGTAGTCCTACGGTCGTCCAATAACAACTCCTCCTCACTAGCGCTTGCATCGCTCATGAGCTACAGTGTGTGTGATCTAAAATAGAATCCACACTGAATCCTACCTCAGCATGACACACAATGGTACACCACTAACTTCGGTCGGCCTGGACAGAAACAGTTAGGTGGTTAGGTGTCAACCAATGTCAGATCCTACAAGGAATATTAAATCTATTTTTATATTACTCTGATACAGATGGCATTGCAGCAAAGAATATACTATATTTGCAGCTGTCTGTCAATTGTTAGTCAAGTCCGTAACAACTAGATAATCAAAAATAAAAATATTGCTCCCTGCAGAGACGTATGCAGGATGGCAGTTTATCTAATTAATGCCACGACGAACAGTTGCTGGAATCCAACCCTTTCCCTGTATCCCTCTTGAGTAGTCACTTTGTGTCGACGTTCCTAGGCATCTGGTTGAGCAGTGTGTCTAAAGGTGTGCAATCCGGCCCACCCCTGTGCCCCAAGTCAACGCAGAACTTGCCAGCCCCTGCACATTATTTATCCTCGCATGCAACGAGCCTTACACCCGGTTTGATATGGCTGATCAGGAGGCATTTAAGGAGATCCCCCATAACTCCTCAGGAATTATTTAACGTCGCAGACAGGACGACGATCACAGCCAGAATCAACACCGAGTCCCCACCATAAATATTTAGAGACGGTCTGGTAAGCGTCTGTTCAAAGGGTTGGCATGCCCTGCATGACCTCTATTGCGCAGCAGCAGAACCAAGGACTTGCGGCAAAGCATGCRTGWACTAGTCCCAGCGGRTTGGCATGGTGACYGTGACCCGAGTGCTTCGTCCAGGGCCCTTCAGAGGCATCGCCCRTCTCCCACCAGCTTGCTGCCCAGGAAGAATGTCGACTSTCAAGGTTRAGCGCTCKYGACAMCTCACATTGAGAGGACTCTCAAGACAAGACTCACTTCCTCAYRGTAAGAAGCRATGAAGAGGGTAGATAAGGAAGGRAGCAACGTACCTCATAATGCTGCCCTCAACCACAGATTTCTCACCGGCAACCTGATGTGCATTTATGATGACCGGTCTTTGCCTCGGCACAACCAACAGCAGAATGTAGTTCCACCTCGGCTTAAATGCCACATCAGCGAGCTCTCATCATCCAGCGCACATCCCTAATATCACCACATAGCTTCCTGGCGTGCCGACATGACCCTGGGCCGCCTAATGTCCAATCGCCCAAGCCTTATCACTGCCCCACACCTCATGCGAAGCACCGAACAGCTAATGCGAAGAACCACAATCACATTGAAAGCCAAATCGTATCACAGTGTTCAGAAAGCAGCATTGCACCAATATAACACCAATGGAGAATCGTAGCACTGAAAGTCAATGTCAATGAGAGCTTGCTCTCGCCACCAACATATGCATCCAGTCTCTAACTCCCTACTTGGCGCTTGGCGCCCAGCCTACTCCCTACACAGCTAGTACTAGCCTACTAATTGACAATGCAACTGTTGACGTCAGCAGCACCCGAAGTACTTGAAGATGTCGCCCATGCAGAACCATCGCCAATACCAGGTATGTGCCCTCACATCGTCGTCATCATCATCCTTCTCTCTCTCCCTTGACTCTCTCCCACGCCTTCCTTTGTTGTACACCCGAAGACCACCCCTGCGCCTCACTGTACATCCAAGCCGTGCCAGCTATGGAGGCTGGGCTATGGCGCTGCCCTCAGCAGCGCCCTGCTCCCTGCACGACCGCACATGCCTGCACCTCTCCGCTCAGCGCTAGCAGCAGCCCACGAGCTTCAGCTCCAGCAGCGCTGCCGCCAGCATGCGAGTGCCCGAATGCCTGGCCAGGCAGCGAGCTCTTTCCTATGTGGAAAGAGCCTGCCTCATTCGGCAGCCTGGCTGGACTGGCCTGGGCCCAGAAGCTTCCAGTAGGCCCCAGGATGCTGCGCCTCTAGTGCAGCTACTGGGCCTCATTCGGTTGGGCCTCCCAACTGTCTGTGTATGAGGCTGCGAATCTCGCCCAGGGCCTGTGCGTTCGGAAAGGCCTAGAAGGCCTGGGAATTTCCACGCTGCGCGGCCTGTGTTTCCCTTCAACCAACTGGCGCGACGAAACTGCCTGGACCCCAAATGCGAAATTGACAGCCAAGGGCCTGTCGTGATTTGTTAGGCCCGCCTTCACTTAGGGCGGGCACATATGCTGCAGGGGGCCCCTTAGGCCTGCCGAGGACCCATATCCTCGCACTTGAGCAGGGGCCATACTGCTGATCTTATCTGTATCCTTCCAATTTTAATGGATGTCCCACAGGACAGCTACCTGGATTCTTTTTTCCCGTTCGACCATCATTTTCTTAATTCGTGCCAGAAAACGAAGAACCAAGGTAGTGGGAATTTGTAGCCCTGTCCTTCCCCCCCCAACACACACCCAAAAAAAAGAAAAAAGAAAAAAGAATTAACAGCTGATTTGGCCGGTAGCAGTGCTGGTTGGTTCCTGGTATTTTCTGATCACATTGTCGCCGGCGTTGACACCCCCTTACGATGATGCTCTCAATCGAAAGCAGCTCCACTGGTGGCTGCGTACCACCAGTACTTTGCTAACATATGGAATAAGATTAGAAGACTGAATGGACAGAGTCCAACCGACACAACTGGCGCTCTGTCGAAGTCTGGAATTACACCACCAGTGCAACCGAACCTGAATTGTCAAGCCTTTTTTTTTTTGGAAAGTAAAGATCCGCAGATTTCTTATATCAGAAAGAAAAACTGTCAATTCTGATAATGATTGAAAAGTCCGATCCTCTCTTTGACGGCGGCTCCGCTTGGTGGCTGGACCGGTACCACCAAAGTGTGTGAAACTCTCAATTTTGATAATGATTCGAAAGTCCTATCCTCTCTTTGACTGGCTCTGTCCTGTGGAAAATCTGAAGCGGGACCTGTGCCACAAAAGTGTGTGAAACTGTCGATTTTGATAATGATTGAAAAGTCCAATCCTCTGTTCCAACCGGCTCTGTCCGGTGGAAAATCTGAAGCAGGACCGGTACCACCAAAGTGTGTGACAAAACACGGACAGGAAGGCCTGAACCTGGAATGGACGGCAGCCTGCCTGTCCTTTTTGTCTTCTTCTTTTTTTTTTAAGGCGATGGCCTCGAGGCATTTTCACCGAGCTGTCCGGCGACTCCGCCCCCAGGAGCGTGGTCCACTACCGATGTATGGGGATTAGTGTTTAAGGTGTGTGACTGTCAGGCATCCGTTAAAATTGGAACGATACAGAGGGTCTCGTTAGACACTCCTATTGAAATCCTCGGGCAAAAGGAAAATTTCCTTTGGGTTCAAAAGGAAATTTGGGCCCTTCGTTCCACCTGTCCTCCGGGACGTCGCCCGAGGACATTTCCATCGAGCGATGTCAGAAAAGAAAAAAGAAAAAAGAAAAAAAATCAAATGTGCTTGAGGCCTTCAGCCAATAGGGTGCCGCCACGATCCAGATTTTCGGTTGTAACGCCTCTCTACCCATGTGCCCGCTCCTCTCCGTGAAATGCGGATTCCTTTTGCCCGAGGGACCTCGTGAGGTCCCTTGGGCAAAAGGAAGAAATGGCTGGGGAATCCTCGGAGCCCAAGGAATTTCCTTCGGAGTGTTTTCACTTCTTTTTTTTTCCGACTGCATCCCCGAGGATAGGTGGAGCGAACAATTCCTCGGGGACTGTATGCGCCCGAGGAGTGTCTAACGAGCCCCAGAGAAGATTAGCATGGCCCCTGCGCAAGGATGACAAAAAAAAAAAGAAAAAAAAGAAAAAAGAAAAAAAAGAAAAAAGGAAAAGAAAAAGGTGTGCGACTGTCAGGCATCGTGGATTTGGCAGGAAATCAGCAGTAGCCTGTTTTTGTGAATTCAGCCCGGGAGAAGGATGTCTTCTTTTGCTCTCCCATTGGTAGTTTTTTCTTTTGTTTTCTTTGTTGGGGTCCTGTGGCTGTCCCACATGTGCGTGAAATCAGAACCAAGTTTTTTGGTTCGTGAAATCACACACGTTTTCACTCACGGCGAAGGCAAAGACGAATGGCTCCATCGCTGGAAATTGATCGTGGTTTGGGAGGTGTTGGGGAGGGTTCGATCCCCTCACCTACAGCAAATGGTGTATGGAGTTACTCTTGCCCTCCTTTGCCAAAGAGAATTTATGTCAGAACAACCGAACAGCGTGCACGGTGGCCTATTTCAAGGAAGCCTCAGACTGTTGTCAATGAATATGGTCCGTGTGCTCACTCACGTGCAGTCGTCTCGACTGCCACGGCCATGGTCAGTGAATCATACCCCACACCATCTGTGAGAAGAGCACGCTCTTTTCTTTTTTAGCAGTTTTTTCTTCATGTGTTTGGTCATGAAATGTTTTTTTTGTGTTTATTTTCCCTATTTCACGCTGCCACCCACCCGTCCCACACCTGTCACACTAATCCACATACATCGCTAGTGGGATCTGGCTCCAGGTAATTCAAACAAAAACAAAAATGTTTGTTACATTCATCGGTTTCCATCATTCTGGATCCGATCTTGGGTGTGTATTTTAACAGCTCACGGGTGTGTACCAACTGCGCCAGAGCTCGTTGGTACCTGTGTGTCCTTTTTGTTCCTTTGTTCTAGTGTTTTTTTTTGTTTTTTTTTTTTGGCTCAAAATTCCAAATTCTATTACAATGTGTTTTGCTGTTTTTTTTGGTTGTGTTTGTTAACTTCGTTTCTTCTTTCGTTTTTGTTTGTTTTTTCTGTTTGTTTGTCCTATTTGCACTTCCACATCAGTCCTGTATGGAAAAAAAAAGAAAAAAGAATGTTCGCACAAAAAGTGGAAGATGAGGAAGACAGCAAAGACAAAGAATGGGGGGGAGGAGGAGGAGGAGGAGTGTAGGGGGCAGAGGCTCTCTCTCTCTCTCTCTCTCTCTCTCTCTCTCTCTCTCTCTCTCTCTCTCTCTCTCTCTCACACACACACACACACACACACACACACACTCAC